TAGCTGTTGATCAACATGTGAACTCTCAATGGTTCTGTCGTCCCACCATCACAGACTCCAACCCTCTGAAACTGTAAGCCAAATTAAACACTTTTTTTTAAGCCAAATTAAATACTCCCTTTATAAATTGCCCTGGCCATGGTGTTTTACCACAACAACAGAAAAGTAACAAAGATAGTGTTCATGGCAAAACAACAACAAAAAAAAAAAAAAAAAAAAAAAAACCAAAACATTTTCTTGCTCATAGGTTTCTGTTCTATGTTCCTTACACCATTCCGTCACAAAGATAACTGAGGCTCTTTGGGGGGGCGGGGGATGAATGACTCATGGTCCAGGGGAAGGAATATAAAACCTGAGGTAACAGACAGGACCAGGAAGCAGTGAGGCTCTGCAAAGCTAAGCCAGTGGGAGCAAGGGCTAGCTGAAGAGGATCCGGATGGCCAAGGCTGAGAGGACCTGAGGAATAAAAATCACGTGACATAGCAATGGAGCTTCCCAGGAAATACAAAAGAAACAACCTTTTGTAAGCTTGAAGCCAGCCTAGACTATATAGCAGACCCTGTCTCAGAAATAAAACATACATGACTGGGAGACCGTGACACAAAGGGATTCAGTGCTGGGCCTGATGAGCCGAGTGTGACCCCCGGGGATGGAAGGAGATGAGTGAGTGACTCCAGTAAGCTGTCCTCTAACCCCCACCCCACCCCCACCCCCGCTCAACACAAATAAAGAAAGAAATGTTTCAAAAACAAAAAGTAAAAAGAAAATAAATATACTTGCACTTGTAACTACATAAATAAAAGACTAGACAGAGCCTGGCTTCTTACAGTCTAGGTTGTGACCTCATATAGAACCATGTACCTGAAGGTAGGAGTTGTGAAAATTTTGGCAACAGTAAAGCATTTCTGAATTCAGAATCAGACGCAAACTGAATCCGAGGTGTTTCTGCATGCCGACTCGTGTCGCGTCCTGGGGCCTCACTAGAGCCTTTGGTTCTGAGCACAGGACACCCACCGACTGCTTTGCTCCTTGCATGTCATCTCACACCTCAGAACTGCTAACATTACCTGAAACACAGTGCCTCAGACTCGAAACTCTGAAAGGTTATGAGTTTCAGTGTTTTTACTGTATGCACAAAGTTGTCTGTTCTTGTACAAACAGAATGGTTTAATTATGAGAAGCAGCATTTAATGTATTCTAATGTCACGTCTCAGCCTGTAAGTGGCAAATTAGCATATGTTTGGATTGTATCAGGGCAAGAAGGTTTGATTTTAAGAATTGCTATCATTCTGGGGGTGAGGTGGCACACACCTTTGATCCCAGCACTTGGGAAGCAGAGGCAGGCAAATCTCTGGGAATTTGAGGCCAGCCTGGTGCTCAGAGTGAGTTCCAGGACAGCCAGAGCTATATAGTAAAACTTCATCTTGGAAAAAAAAACTATTAAGTGAAACCAGGTATAGTGGCTCATGTCTACAATACCAGCATGAAGGCAGCTGAAGCAGGGGATTTGCCATGAGTTTAAGGGAGACTTGCAGACCAGTCTGGGCTCCAGAGTGAGATCTTGTCTCCAAACAGCAGAACCATAAACATTGCTAACTGAATTCTGACTTGAGATTAGGACAGAATTTCCAGCTGCTTCTGAAATGGCCTTGGACACACTTCCAGCATTTATGGACAGCAGGATTCTCAACATTGTCAATTATAAAAATCAAAGTATCAATCTACTTTGAAAAAACATCCTGCAGTAACAAACACACTTTCATTCTTTTTTAAAAAAAAATCTCTCTCTCTCTCTCTCTCTCTCTCTTCTCTCTCTCTCTCTC